TTTGTTCGGGTACTTCTGATACACCCAACGTAGAATCCAAAGTTGATCACGAATTCCCGGGTCAGAATGGGTTCTTATGACCCTGATAAGCACGCCTAATATCCTAATATGATCCTAATTAAATGGATATTTTCCGTTTCCCAAATCGTCACAGAAGGTTTACTCAAGTCTCTAACAAGGAAGATCGTTAGAAGGTTTAAGACACTCCGGAGGGTTACCTCGGAGGGTACCTTGATCACCCAAGTTACTTCGGAGGGTACCTTAATCACCCAAGTTACTTCGGAGGGTCCCCCTAAATTTACTAAGGAGGGTCAATAAGATGCTTAATATGCTCCGGAGGGTTACTTCGGAGGGTACCACCAAAATTTTCAAATTTCTGAGCTTCACTCAGAAGGTCCTTCAATCGACTTCAGGAAGCGTCAAAACAAGCTAAATTCTCTATCAGGGGGGCTGTCTTAACTTCTTTGGATAACCTCGTGGAAATTTTCCACTAAGGAGGGTTGCTAAGGGGTTTAGCTGACTCCGGAGGGTTACTTCGGAGGGTTCCCCAAAAATCACGAAAAAGGTTATGTTACCGCGATAAAGTCTCCAAAAGCGGTCTACCTGACTTAAAACTAGGTTGGCTGACACGGTCAACCTCCCCAGTTGGATAAAAAGGTGTTTTGATAAAAATTTTCCGCCGCTCGGAGGGTTACCTGTAATTTGGACCCTCCGAACCAACAAATTCTAAAAAAATTTTCTTTTCCGAGATTATCAACCCAAAAACGGTTGCGGTCCGGAAAATTGGTCCAAAATGTCGACTTATGGTACCAAAATTATCCCGATCGGATGACTAGTCTTTGAGAAATTGCCAAAAACGTGTTTGTCCAAATGGCCCTTTTTCACCACCTATATAGGTTCTGAGAAACTTTTTCCGCAATTCCTATCGAAAGTGCCTAAAAATAATTGAAACGAGCGTAGTAGCCCTGTACGGCACTGGAATAATGCAAAAAACCGGACCAAAATTGGTTTAGAAACAAACATTTGGCCAAAAACTATCAAATTTGGACCCTCCGATTCCTTCCTTTTCCAAACCTTAAGTCGTTAGCTCTATCCACGGAGCTACTCGGAGGGTTACCCAAAAATCTCTCTAGTAACCGAGCACGTTATGCTAGCACGCTACTAACGCAAAAAATTTTATTGCTCTAACTCTAAAAACTCAAAAACTCGATCTCCAAAACAGATTGACAAAATTCAGAAAATTATCGAAATTTTGACCGAAAAATTTTGGTTTTTTCCAACTTCTACTGAGTCTTTTCTCACGCGGTTTCTTTAGTTAGGGGGATCGAACTACGTAGCTACTCCCTATATAAAAGCTTTTTGTTGTTCGGAAAAGCTCGGATATCCAAAAATTTGGGGGTCTACAGTTTGATCGAAAATCGATGATTTTCAACAAAATTGGGTGTTTTTTTTTTGTCTAATTGAGGAGATAAGTAATATGTAATAAGGATAATAACCTATTAGTAGTCGTTAATGAATAGTACTATACCCTCCTTTGCACCAAAATACCCGAATTAAGTACCTTAACTCGGAAATTTGTAATCGATGGAGGGTACAATCGGACCGCGCCAATCGTGCCCCCCACCACTTAAGTTTTAATGAAATAGTACCCGAACGATACTAAAATTGCTTCAACGATACCCAACAGTCGTTGCGGATGTTGTCCTTGATGTCCCTGTTGAGTGTGGAACACGTTGATCAGCTTGCCACTCTACCCTCCGGCCACCGGCAAAATCACCATTAACGTGCTTAAACACTCAAATTACACTCGAGGGAGGGTATCCAACCCTTCACCAAAACACACAATCTTTCTATCAGAAACGATAAAAATCAATCTGAAACAACAACATATAGGAAGGTCAGATCACATCTCGTCCGGAAATAACATATAAACTGTCACTTTATGTTTTTTACTGTTTTTGGTCTTTTTTGGATTTTTTACTGTTTTTTTGTACTTTTTTGTTTTCAAATAAATTTATTTTTGGCTTTTTCTTGGTTATACACTATTTTTGTTTGGTTTTACGCTTTCTCTTTAATTGTTTTTGGTCCTGGTGCCTCAGGACAAGTGGGCTCTAGATTTCCCACCTAACCCTCCGGCCCCCGGAATTTTCGGTGTTAACTGAGTTAAAAAGCTAAATTGTACTAGACGGAGGGTACGCACCTTCCCCCTAGTACAACAACGGTCATTAAGGCCTCTAACTCGGGCATACGCCCGGAGCGGAGGGTACGTCGCTGAAACGCTTGCTGATCATGATGGTTTCATGCCTTTAACAGGCCCACCCAGGAGCGCCATAAAAACGTCTATGTAACATTCGCCCAAATACTACACAGCGACGGAGCGTAGAAAAAGTACCTATTAACGACTGGCAGGCGTCAGTTACCTTAATCCTACTCGTTTTTCACCGTCTCGACCTTGCCAGTTGATTTTCTGGTCTGTTTAGGGCAAAGTAAAAAGTTACCATTTTTAGGCCATCAGTCAAACGACTTTTGATCAGCTTTCGTTTACATGCGAACACAACCACATAGCTGAGTCTCGGATCCTCAGACTACATGATTGTCATTAAAAACACGGCTCAAACAACCTATTTTAACATATTTTTGTGTGACAGTTCTATATTAAATCCATTGGAGATGGATTGACCCTTTCCTCTTTCTAGCTACTCATGTTCTGAAATATCAAACAATAACGGTGTTAATTAAGATCTATGACATTACAGCAGCTATACAGTCAGTCTATACAGTCCCTTCACATAGAACAGTCTCTGGGGGACCAAGCCTCCGCTCCCGTAATATTCCTGAGATAACGCTCTTATCTCTTATAATTCGTGTCCCGGGAGGGTTCCGTGGTGTATTTCTTCCCCCACTGAAGCCTCCTTCTCCACCAATATCTGTTAACAAGTGTCTTATCGTGCGTTGTTGCCACGATAAGAGGCTTCGTGTTTTCAGTCTCTGGTACGACTGTTTTTCACAATATCCGTCGTTGTTCTCATTTTCGTCACTTTTTGGCTCAAAATGGCCGTCTTTTTCTATTTCTCAGAAATGTTCACTCTTCAATCGAAATTTTAAAAATAAAAATTCTAGAACATTCTGACCCTCCTTCGCAACACTTTTTCGTTCATAAGGCCTTTAGTCGTTCTTTTTTACGTCGCCGGAAGGTTGTGCTGTGTCATCTGGCAGAATGGCACACTATTGTCCTCGGTTGATTGTCACCTCAATTGTTCGGTTAATTGCAACACTTGTTGGACAAATTGTTTTCTTGGGCTAATTGACAATTTTTTTTCACACTTCGGTTGCCGGAATTCTTTTGTAGTAATCGAAACTTTACATATTTTTTTTTCACTCAGGTCCGGCTGTTTGTACAGTAGATCTTGAAAAAAAAATCAGATTCAATCGTAAACGCACTGAAATTTATCGATAAATAACAGCCATAAAAGGACAATAAATGTTTTCTCAAATGTCGGAAACTGTAGAAACAACATAGTTGTATATGCAGCGAATTATTGATAGCAAAAACGAAGTTTAACTGCCAGAAACCTGTCCTCGAGGTAAGACAAGGTCAATTTTAGATAGTTAGTTGCGTTTTTGCGAGATCTGCAGCTTTTTTTACTTACGCAATTTTAACATAACTTTTGCATGGCTATTATGTAATTATAACGTAATAATAGTCACAAAAGCGTAACCGAACCCTTTTCACTACCCACAACTAAATGTCTAAATGGTCTTGGGGCGGCTCGAACCTACGCCTTGGACTGACTCGGACTATTTTTGGATCTTTAGCTTAGACCGCATGGCCATCTGTAATTTAGTTTTGGGTTTACTGCATTTGTAGTTAAAGCTTACGATCGTATTTCAATAAGAAGCATTGCGGACGAAAATCGCTCAAAAAAGCAAAAAAAAATGTCTACTCGTGATTAACTCGTTGTTGGTTTGTTTATTATGGCCCGAAGAATTTTATTTGCTTTAATACTGTAATAAATTGTTTCACAAAAACTATCGATAATTTGCTTCCGTCAATAAATTCGTTTTTCTTCCGCTGTACCAAGTAAGTTATCAATGAAAAACCCCTGGGATAAATTTGTGAAATAGATTGCTCGCAGAGCACAAATCAAAAAAGAAGACAAGTTCCTTCTTGTTCGGAGAAAAATCATTTTATTCAATTAGTTTTTTTTCCAAAATTGAAAGATGCAAAAGACGATACGTTGATTTAGACGGACAAAACAAACGAAAGAAGAGCAGTTTAATAATATTATAGATTGAAAAAAGTCAAAAAAAATGTTACAATCCATATCAAATCAGTTATCGAGCTTATTAAAAAATTTTTGAAATTGAAGTTGAATGGAATTAGATTTGATTGCTATTCATGGAACATCGGTGCAAGCTTGGCGCATGTAATTTTAAGCAGCCCAGACCTGAGATTCCTTAAATTTGATCTAATGATCTGTTTGAAGCGAGACAGGTTGATGCTATTTTTCTGGAGTAAGACACCTCTGCTGCTAAAAAGATCAAAAAGATTGATTGCTTCATTTGAAATTTTAACTCATTTAGATGCAAATTACATTAGGGAATCTAACTTGTTTCATGAAATCCAATCTAACACTTTGGAAAGCTTAAACCTGCCTCTGCATTATGATTTATAGGACTTGAAAGGGAAGGACGCTCTACTTAAAATTCCTCATTTGTGTTCTTTATTCGCCTTCTTCAGAGTTATGATCTGTAATTATTTATAAATCTGGTTTAATTTAATGTTTCAAACTTTTGTCTTCGACTCCTCGAAAGTTAGACCTCAGTTGAAGTTATATGCGGTTGAATTCAAGTAACTTTCGCATCGGACAATTTTCTTTTTAATTGACTCATCAAGTTTTACTGTTTTGAATGAAAGTTCTCTAGAAATCGTTTCTTTTCTCGTGTTATTGGAATTTTTGAGTTCGAGAAGTTTTGAGTTTGCAATGGAAGTTGTCGTTTTCAGTTATAGTCACTGATTCAGACTCTTTGAAAATGAAATCGATAAAACTAGGAGATATCCCCAGTTCGAAACTGGGCTTCGGCGCCATGTCATTGGTTCCAAATATCTACTCAACGCCTGGAGATTTCACAGATGAAGATGGCGTCGCTCTTCTCCAACGAGTGATTAATTTGGGTATAACTCATATCGACACAGCTATTCTGTATGGGAATGGGCACAATGAGAAAGTTGTTGGAAAGTTCCTAGCCTGCTTGAAACCAGAAGAAAGAGCGAAGCTTTGTATCGCTACTAAAACTGGCTTTGACCTTGAAGCTGATAGAATCAACAACGAACCTGGATATATTCGAAGGACGTGCGAAGAATCTCTGCAACGTCTGGGCACTTATATAGATATTTTTTACTTGCACCGAATCGATACTTCAGTTGCGATTGAAGATAGCATGAAAGTTATGAAAGAACTAATTGCAGAAGGGAAGATCAAATCTGTTGGGCTAAGTGAAGCATCGGCTAATACGATTCGAAGAGCGCATGCTATGTGTAAAATATCAGCCATACAACTTGAGTGGTCTCTTTGGTCAAGGGATGTTGAGGATGAAATTGTTCCCACTTGCAGAGAATTGGGAATCGGAATTGTGGCCTATTCGCCACTTGGAAGAGGGATGCTAGCTGGAACTGTAAAGAAACGTGAGGATTTGAATCCCAATGACTGGAGATTACTGAATCCAAGGTAGGGAAAAGCGTAATAATGTTATCGTTTTCAAAGTTAACTTCTGTAAGTATGCATGTAGATGGTAGAACCCCTGGTGGAATTGTGATCAGACCCATTTGACCAAAAAAAAATTGTGATTCGAAGCATTCCACCAAAAAAAATCTATGATTGCACCAGACTGAAAAGATTTGTGATCAGACTCAAGTTCGACTCATATTTCGACCAGTTTGACCCGGGACTATCCATTTTAATTTGACATGACAACTCGAATTTTTCTGTTTGCAGTGAAACATTCTTATATGATTTGTCGCCGTTTCAAAGTGTCGCCTCACAGTTTGACCACAATTTGTATAGCAATTCTTTGGACTTAATCTAAGAGATGAATGTTGATTTCAGTTTCACATACATATGAATACGTAATGTGAATAGCTTATACAAGTTGCAGAGCTGACCTTTTAAAATTTTCTTCTGTGACATTTATATCAGAATTAGAAAATTCTCAAAGTTCCCGAACGCTTGACCTGATGCAATTTTTTTTGCAAGATTATTGATGTTTTTATCAGGTTTGAGAAACAGGCAATCGAAGCTAATTTGCAACTTGTGAGTAAAATTGAGGAAATAGCTTCCAAGAAAGGGTGTACAACTGCCCAGCTATCTCTGGCCTGGGTTCTGGCACAAGGCGATGACGTGGTTCCGATTCCAGGAACGTCCAAAGTGAAGAATCTTGAGTCGAATGTGGGCGCCTTGGATGTTGTTTTGTCGAAAGATGAAGTTTATCAATTGAGTAATGCTGTTCCCATTGCAGCAGTTGTTGGAGATAGGTACCAAGAAGGGTTTCCAACTTTCAAAGACAATTAGATCTAGACTGAATGCTGTTCACCCTTGCGATAATTTATTTTTACTTTCGAAAATGTAAATGTTTTAAAAGTTGATCTCATTTTATTAGAATGAAGTTTTCCCATGCAGTAGGGCGTAACCTATATTTATGATTTATACAAGAGCCTAAGTTAGATGTTAAATGTTTTTTCTGGGAAAAATATTTTCTCGAAAATATATTTTTTTCTTTATTGAGGTTTTTAAAAGTTCAATTATTTTGTAAGTCATTCTAGAAGTAGGGGCAAAACATGATTAAAGAATCTGTTAGCTGATTGAGCAAAGTAGCTGAACTAATTCTAGCGCGAAGAACAAGTCATTGTTAAGTTAAACTAATACTCATGTGATCAATTCAGTCCATGTTTTCGTTCGGTTACCTATCAGCTATTCTACTATTCTATACATAACTCTCTGTTTATCAGAGTAATGTGCCATTAGATTTGCACTCGTTACAACCTGCACAAAATTAACAACTCTAAATTTATCTGGTGAACGAATCTTTCTTCAGACCTTGCAATGTCGATCATTACTTGCAAAGCAGCAGTTGCGTGGTCCGCCAAATCCCCCTTAATCATTGAAACAGTCGAGGTGCTCCCCCCTCAAGCAGGCGAAGTCCGGATCAAGATACTCTACACCGGAGTATGTCATACTGATGCGTACACCCTCGGAGGATTCGACCCGGAAGGTCTCTTTCCAGTCATTCTGGGCCACGAGGGTGCCGGTGTCATTGAAAGCGTGGGCGAAGGGGTCACTGACCTAAAAGTGGGCGACACTGTCATACCGTTGTACACTCCTCAATGCAGGACTTGTAAATTCTGTCTGAACAAGAAAACTAATCTATGTGGGAAAATAAGAGCGACTCAGGGAAAAGGTGTCATGCCAGATGGAATCTCTCGATTTAGATGCAAAGGTGAACCCATCTGTCATTTCATGGGTTGCAGTACTTTCTCACAGTATACTGTATGTGCTGGGATATCAGTCGCCAAAGTGAACCCGGAAGCTGCGCCGGATATCTCGTGTCTTCTCGGATGCGGGGTCACGACTGGCTATGGTGCCGCAATCAACACTGCCAGTGTTGAAGCAGGGTCGAAGTGTGCGATTTTCGGCTTAGGCGCTGTCGGCTTAGCAGTCGTTCTTGGTTGCAGAGAGCAAGGCGCGAGTGAGATCTACGGCATTGATATCAACAATGAAAAGAAAGACGTCGCAGAGAAGTTTGGCATTACGAAGTTCATTAATCCGAAAGATTTCGACAAGCCGATTCAGCAAGTACTTGTTGACATGACGGACGGTGGGTTTGACTACACGTTCGATGCTACTGGAAATGTCGGCGTAATGAGATCGGCCTTGGAATGTGCTCATAAAGGTTGGGGCGTGAGTACCATCATCGGAGTGGCGGCTGCGGGCCAGGAAATTTCGACCCGCCCTTTCCAGTTAGTCACTGGAAGGGTGTGGAAAGGAACTGCGTTTGGAGGCTATAAAAGCAGAGACAGTGTTCCTAAACTAGTGGATGAGTATCTGAAGGGTTCTAATTGTCTGAAGATGCTGCCTGAGTTTGTGACCCATCGACGCAAGTTGGAGAGTATTGGGGAGGCGTTTGATCTGATGCATGAAGGAAAGAGTCTGAGAACTGTGATTGATATGTGGTAAAATTTAATTGAAGTTAAATTGGTGACAATTTTGTGCGCTTGAGTTTTCAGTCTTTGCACAGTGTTTTTCGGTCAATCAGAGTTTTGAAACTTTTTCGATGCTTTGAAATAAGGTTTTAAAAATGTTGACGTGAAAATGAGCTGCTTTGAGTTTGGTTTTAATTCGTTGACCGAAAAGGATTTTCCGAAAGTTTGGCATAACAATTTAATTGTGATTGATTGATGTGATGATTGAACTAAGAAATTGAATCGAAAGCATATTCAATTTGACTAATGTTAGGTTACTATTTATAACAGATTTTTCTCCCCTTTCTTCATTCTTCACAAGCTTAAGGACTACATTTAGGTATTTTTAATAAGTTATTTTGCAAGCGCAATGCAGTGTTTTAATTCGAATATTTTATTCCTATGCAGTGCGCTTTTGATGTTCCAGAATTGCGCATTGAAGAATATGAAAGTTTTTTTTGCGTATTTAGTATCAGATTTGTTTGAGGTAATGCTGAAGAACAGGTGTTTGTTGTATAAACTAGCGAGCTTTTTTATCTAAACTAGCGAGGATTTTATCGAGGGGGAGGCAAATAGATTTCGATATTTTTGTCAACTTTTTTTTAGATCGACCAATGTTATTTTCCGGGCGCTTCCAGAACACACACTTCTGCAAATTTTTGCAAACAACTGATCAAAAATGCCGTTTCGGAAAATTATGTAAAGACTGAACATACAAACACGACGTACAATTACCCCAGTTGCGATATTTTTGTTGTTAAATAATCAGTCACTTCATTTTTTTTTTCAGAAACATGTTAATTCAAAAAAACCATTTGGTTAAAAATTTATGCTGATACAAAATCAAATTATCACAATAAATTAAAAATCGACAACTACAACGGCATGTAAATATACAAATACACCTTGTATAAATATGAAGGAGAAAAAACTAGAACTAGAAATTAGACCGAAAAATGTTTTCGAAAAGAACTAATGGATCTATCAAAAGGAATTTTTTCCTGTTTTTTTATCAAAAATTTTCTAAGTTCAAATGTAAAATTTTTGTTCAGATTTAATTTTCTTTGGATATATGTTTAAATTGTTCCATTTATTACAACTATTGTTTGCTACAGATTTCTTTCCCACTTCTGTTTTTACAAACCTACTTTGTTTTATTTATTTTTGTGCGTTCGTTTAGTTTCACAGGTACTCAATTATAGATAAACTACCTACCAATTTCTTTTGTGTTAAGGTTTTTGCGACATCGAGCTTTCTAGTCAAGCTATGTTGGGTAGTGAATAGTTCGGCTGGTAGAACTTTAGACTCTAAAAGTAGATCATGTGCATGATCATTTTTTCTGCGAAGATAACACACTATGATTCCTTAGTAAATTTGTCGGCTTGGTCTTTTAAATTAAGACATGGGTAGCTTTTGAAAAAATGCTGAGCTAAAAGATAAATGTGACGAAACTAACGATTTGAAAAGCATAACTCTTGTTTTTAATGGTACCATATGTCGCACACAGTATACTGTTCAATTTCAACAGCCATTTTGCTTAAACATGTGTTCAATTCGGCTGAAAAAGTGAGACCTTTGTCCTCAAGCAATCCAAAACACCTGGCATGTTCCTTTGCAGAAATTGTTTCATCATTATGAATATTTTTTCCTAAACAATGCCCTTCTTACAGACAATGAGTTCTGTTTTATCAACATTAAGAACATGTTTTTTTATTTTCAAATTTTAATGTAGTTTTTTTAGCGTTTGTAGTATTGTTATTCTTAGGTCGGTTATTGAGTTTCTGTACAAAAGATACTTGTAGCATCTGCAAGTTACACAGAGTTTATGTTGCTCTTATTTTGTTTTTTATTTCATTTACATAAAGAGTGAAAACCAATGGTCCCAAAACAGTACATTGTGGTACGCCATGATTAAGTGTTTTCCAGTCAGAATAATGATTTTGAAAATTTACACATTGTTGAGGGTCTCATAAAAATCTTTCACGAGAATCGATGCATTTTTGGAAAAAAAACCATACATTCCAATTTTTCTAAGAAAATTTCATGAGAAATGGAATTGGAAGCTTTAGCAAGATCTAGAAAACTTTTTTCTTGGTTGATACATGTTTTCACAAATCATTTGGGTAAAAATGATAATTGGATCAGTCGCAGATTGGTTTTTCTGAAATCCAAATTGACAGACGTTCCTTAACAAGTTTTGTTTGAGATATTTCATAGTTTGATTAGAAAACAAATGTTCGAAAATTTGTAAAAGTGTGTTTTTCACAAAAATTCGCCTATAATTTGATGCAAACTGAGTTTTATCTTTTTTGAAGACAAGTGTTATATAGGCTTTCTTGAGGATTGATGGAAACTGATTTTGCATTATACTTTCATTTATTGCGTATTGAAGGGGTGTTCCAATAGCAAGTTTACCTTGTTGGATGCAAAAAGCTTGTTTTCCATTGGCCCTGGGGGTTTATTCAACGGTAAAAACTCTTCGTAAATTGCGTTTTTTGTGACACTGAAAGTCAGACACTAGTTGTAATTCTTTCTTTTTGTTTTCAGGGTTTATGTTCACCATTAAAAAAACCTAATCTTGAAAAAACTTTAAGTGATTTACTATTTCCCTAACATTTTGTTGTTTTGCTATCTTCCAAATCCATCTCGCTAATATTTACTCTCCTTTTTCCTATTTTTTTGTTTATGAAATACGATTATTCTGTACTCTCTCGTGTACCAAATTTCTTACCTTTTTGTACTCTCTATGCGCTACCTCACAACCAGTGTTTTTCCATATATTGAAACAACTATATTTATTGTTTATCAAAGTCATCAAGGTGTTATCTATCCATGATTTTTTGTTATTGGTTTCCAGTTCCCGATTTATAGTTTGGTGCAATATGGAGCACGCTCACTTATAATGTTTTTTTGAATAGTCTCAAAAGTCTGATCCAAAGGGTTTTTCATACATTTCTGACTAAACAGAAAGAGCAAGGTCCAAGTTGAATTTCTCCCGATAATAGTTTTGGAATTGTTTTGCCTCAATTTGATTGATGTCATTTTTTGGCTTGCAAGAAATTAATGTTTCATATGAAAGCATGTTCTGTGTTGAAAGGCAATTGGTACGAATTAATATAAATTAATTGGTTTGTTGAAACTAAACTGGTCGATAAGTGAAATATTTTTATCCGTGACACGTGATGGTCTTGAGACGTTTGGTATAGTTAAACCATAGTTTGCAGTGAAGTCGTTGAGTTTTGATGACTCATCTTGCTTTAAAAGATGTATATTGTAGTCCCCAAATATGGAAATTTCCGTTTTTGAAGCAAACGCATGGAAAATTTAACCTCCCACTTCATCAAAAAATGTACGGAGTGATTTTTTTGAGCTATATGAAACATAAATTAAGGTTTTTTTGTGAATCATTACTCAATTTCAACTCATAAGGACTCAAAAAAAACGGCCTGTGTTACTCATGAGATCTTTACGAATGTACATTTTGAATGATAAAGGAGTCCAAATTCCAACACCTCCTCCCCCCTTTTTAGACCTGTCCATTCTGAGCGTGGAATGTTTACGTTTCAAGTTTTGTTCAAAAGTCATTTTTGTTTGCTTTCGGTATTTAAACATCGGGGTTTTTTGGATATCATCTTAACTTGAAAAAGTGAAATACGCTTTGTGAATCAGCGTCTGTAGTGTTTTTCTATAGTTTGCATTACGACACCTCTGCACTTTATACATAATTATACTAATCGTGCAGGCTTCTTAAAATGTTTCAATCGGCTCAGTCAAATTGGTTTTGGACACTTTCACGCTGGTGATTGGTCATTGTTTACAGATGGGGTTGAATGAAAACCTATTTTGTTATTGAAACGAAATGAAAATTGTGATTCCAAAACAACATATTCTGGTTTTTGGGCGATTTATTCACACATTAGCGAAACTGAGAGACGAAATATCTTGTCACTGTTCTGAAGACAAATTCACCCTCAAATGTGTCAACTCAACTCAAACGTGTCTTGCAATATTCCAATTGGACAAACATTTTTTCTCAACATTCGAAGTCGCAGTTGCCGAAGTCAAGTTAAAACTTCACTCTAAATCCTTGTTGTATGTGTTTAAAAATCTGTATAATATCGAAAAATCGTGTGACAAAGTCGTGATTAGTTATGACCCGACTGTCGTTCAAGTTGAAGATTGTTTACGAATTGTGTTTCTGAAAGCGGAGGGAATCGAGACTGTTTTTGACGTCAACTGTCTTGAAGATGAAAATGACATCAATCCGAATCTTAGCTACAATTCTGAAGAAGAGCTGAATCAGATTTTATTCAACAATTTTTCTGCCTCGTCGAAATTGTTCAACGAAGTTATTCAGAGTTTCTTTTCGGCCGATGAACAAATTGTACTTGAAGCGTGTCAAAGTGTGATTCGACTGAAAAGTTACGTAACAAATGGGATCTCGCTGAGCGAACTGACCAATAGGAAAGCGTCGTCGGGCAAAGAAGGCTGTACGCAGATGGTTATTTCTCAGCAAGAGCTCTTGTCGTATAATGTTCACTATTTAGAAAGCTCAACTAAAACAGAGGTTTCTCAGAGAACTCACGATTTAAATAAGCTACCTAATGGAGACTCAAATTTAGCTGATGCTACCACGCGAGTTTCGGACGATGAAGTGTTGAGTGAAATTGTGTTTAATTTGAAGCATTTCAAAGTGGCTCTCAGCTTACTGCAGATTCTCAATTTGGAATTGAATGTTAATTTTGCACATGGTAAGTTGTCGCTTTTAAAAAGAGACAAACAATTGTCCAGTGCTCATTGATTACGGAGCAGACGAAATCTCGAAACCCAAAAAAAATAGAGTGATAATTTGTGCATAGGTCGAAAAACAGCGTCTCGACTGGAAAGAAAAAGAATAAATTTCTCCGGTCATTCATTACATAAATTTGGCAATTCATCGTTATAAGTAATTATTAAAATGAGACTCGGAGAGGATAGACAACGGGGCCATATGGCCCACACACGCCTACCCTAGCTATGCATGCTCCTTTCACTATCAGGAAAAGATTTTTTTAAAATGTTTTCAGACTAAATAGATGCACAGGTTGTGGGGTTTTCACCAATCGTTTTTTTGTATATTTCATCACTCTAGAGTCCCCTCTAATTTAGGCTGAGTTTTACTCGGCACTGAAAAGAAATGTTTGTAATTTTTCTTGGAATATGAATCACGAAGAAAAGAGCTTAGATATTTTACCACAATTAACCCCTCCTAGAGGTTGCTAAAATTCCACAAAAACTCACCCTACCATACACGAGACCATACACGATAGTTTTTTTCTGTTAAATTAAATTAGACTTGTAAACTGCGCTATATCCAACTGACGTTTTTGTACAAAAAGCAATTGAGTTTGTCTCAAGCGCTGTCAACGTTTGTCATAAAATAGTTTTTATCAGAGCTTGATTTAGTATTTTTCAATGCCACGTGTCTGATTTTGAATACAATTATTGTTTTTTGCAGTAAATCTTAATGAAGCGAGAAGCCGTAAAAAGATCTGAATAATGATTTAGTTGACACTGATGTAAAGCCTAAATTTGTTTCAGCTGGATTACCTTTCCGCGTGCTACTCTACCAGACCGGTCTCTTCAAAGGTCAGTTCTGGATCTCAACCCTCAACAGCCCACTGGACAGAAAAACAACTTCATTGCCACAGCAAAAACAGCCTAACAAAACAGCAGTTGGGACTAATTTAACCAATGCGAATCAAGTTGAAAAGTCAGTTCGAGACATTCCCGATGAATTTGCCAACGATGATGGACTTGATGATGAATTGTTATGCTCGCTTCCAATCGAAACAAACAATAACAACAACATCAAACAGAATCAACAAACAACCAGTCTTCAAAAAGAAGAAACAAGCAAGTCAAATGAACAAACTCAAGAAGATGGGAGATCGTCTGATGATTCACAAAGTAGAATTTCACAGCGGCGAGTATCCCATCTTCGTGCATTTAAGCCAGTGAGCACTTCGTTCCAAGGAGATGAAAATAAGTCGAGTTCAACTAACGCCAGTCAGCAAATTACAGTTGGTGCCAAACGAACAGCTGGCAAAGACTGTTTGGTCCACTTTGAAAATGTATCCACTCAAGAAACAGATTCAGACATGGTTATTTTGCCAAAATGTATCCGAACTATGACGAATAATGACACAATTTTATCCCATGTCGAAAACAATAGCAATTTTGAATTGAAAAATAGTTCTCGTGAAAATTTTACTGAAGCTGAAAACGTTGATATGTTGGAGCCAGAAGACAATGAAAGTTCTCTGATGGCAGATATTTTTGGTCCTTCAACTCTATTGAGTCTGGAAGATACAGAACCCGATGATGGATTGCAGAGTGAAAACTTTGAGGCGACTGTGTTAGTTGAAGACAGTGATGTTGAGTAACATGTGTGTAGATTTAGTTTTGTTTGTTGCTGATCAATTTCGTAAAATTAATATATCAATATGTGAAACATCTGTAAAAAATCTTTCAGAAACTTTTAGTAATTAGTACATAAAGTAGCTTTGCAAATAGCACATAATGTTCCCACCATAGTCTTAAAAGAAACACACAAGTAAGAATTCAAATTAATGCCGTTTTTTTTTCGTGTGATGTGGTACAAAGAGCTGAACGGAAACATAAAACTTAGGCATATTTGACAGTCTTATTAAACAGGCCAATTGGAAAACTGTTTTTGTAGAAAGCTGACGTAAACAACGAAAAAATCGTTAAAAAATTTCAAAAAAGAAAAAGAATTTGAAAAAAAACTGGAGCTAAAAAAACTTCACACTCACCTTATGAGATCGAAATGAGACCGCAAATCAAACGTTTCAAACTGGTTCTCCAATTTTTTAAATTTCAGTCGAATCACATTTCAAAGGGCTTTAATATGATACAAGGATTCGACCGCCTGCCGACCCAAAGGTTACCCCCTTGTACTTTTTTGAGATATCCATTTTTGGCTGACGGACCCTTAAGTTTTTCTAAACGAGCTTTAGCCGCCCATATTTACTGATTTTGTGGGGGCTAAAAAGTACCTAAAAACGCCGTTTTTGGGCTGTTTTTTTTTTTAAAAAGCTCTGGTTGCGGCGCAGAAAATTTGGCCCAAACGGGGTCTTTTTAGTGCTTTGGAAGAGCTCGAAAAATGAATTTGGTAGACCTAAAACAACGGGGTCGCCACGCGGTCAGGGCGAACAAAAACTTGTCAGGGCGAGCAAAGTTAGGTCAGGGCCAGGAGCGTGAAAGCGTTGCTGGTCTTAGTTTTTACTTCAAAGTCTAAATTCAATTGTTTATTAAGCGTTAACCTGTGATTTTTCAGGGTATGAGTCGCGAACGTTCGGTCAAGGGAAGATGAAGTTCAATGAAGACTGGTTTCAAGATGGTGAATTTGAATTGTGGGTTGCTAAATCGAACACGAGTTCAGATGTGTTCTTTGTAAGAAATCATATACGCTGGGCAACATCGGTGTCAAAGCACTCCGCTCCCATGCAGGGCCGACCAAATTGCATGCTGAGCTGGTCACGCTTGAATTGCAATCCCTTCGTTGGGAAGAACATGTTGAAGATGTTCAAGTTGTAAGTGGCTCTGTAGTCGAGCCAGCTACTCCAGTGGTTGAGGCTACAGCCCCTACCAGAAAAACGCTTTTTTTTTGGTGAATGACAATACTCGTAAAGCAGAATTTCTATTTGTTTTGCCTATGATTGTTTCGAGTACTTATGATTGTACTTATGTTTCGAGAACTTATAATTGCCTATGATTGTTTGAAGAGATCTGAAGAGCAAGCTGTCGGATGGTAAATCTGCAGAGAAAAGAAAACTGGATGAAGATATAAACGCGGCGGCTGCAAAGATAAAGCGACTTACGGACGAAGTCAAACATTTGATTAGTGTTGCGGATACGAAAGCAAAGGAAGCTGAAAACAAGAAGTCGTTTCAGTTAATGATAGATTCGAGTGTTCTCCGGGACTCTGCAAAACGCAAGGAGTCAGAAATTGTGAGTACCAAGGAAGAACTTGAAAAACTGAAAACAGCTTTTTAAGAAGAAGTTATTTGGTATGACTTTAAGTTATGTTATTTCTGGTATTTCAAATTCTTTGATAGCTTTTTTTGCAATTTTCAGACTAAATGTCAGGGCCTGAGCTTCAAAGTGGTCAGGGCAGTAATCAATGCTGTCAGGGCGACAGTTAAATTATACCGCGTGGCAACCCTGAACAAGTTCGACTAAATTTCGAATGTTTTTTAAAAATCCGTTCATTATTTGCATTTGTAACCATGTTTTTGTGTGTATACATTGGAGACGGAGAGACGATGACTCAAGGACGGCTTAATTATTATAGCAGCTTTTTTATCTGTCCAAGTATGCAAGCTGCTGCCACGTTGGATAACTGAGAAAGAAACTAATACTTGATGACCTGGTCTAGTTATACGAAGGCGTACTTCCAGAGAGTGACTTCCCCGGCGAGTTCGAATTTTGGAAAATTATGTGGCGCTTTGGCGCTTCCCCTTGTACACCGAAACACCAGAAAACCTCACTAGTGCTCTCAGAGTAAGTCACAATGCCAATATCTTTACTTTGCTCCAGATTGGTGCTACCCTCCCAATTACTCTGCACTGCTGAGCGCTCATTTTTGAGCATGAAATTACTAAAAAATTACCTGCGCTCAAAAATGAACGAGTATCGACTCTCGTTTAGGGCTGTTTAACACGCTCAGAGATATGGAAAAGAAAGTCGAGATATGGAAAAGAAAGATTTCATTGACAGTTTTACTGCAAAAACTTAGAGACTCAGTTTTGTTTAGGTTCGTTTTTATTATTGTATATAATTAAATGTTTTCATTCAAAACTTTCTGAATCCTCCCCCCCCCCCACTCAAAAAAAAATCCTAGATCCACCCCCCCCCCCCCCCTAATGAAACCAACAAAAAATTCCTTCGGAAACAGCTCTAAGAAAAGAAGCATTTTTTTCGGCCGATTTTGCTGAAACTCGGCAACCCGTTATTGAAACTCAAGTACGCAGTTCGTGCCAGAAAAAAAAACTAGAGATTTGTACATCACAAATAAAAAAGAGACTGATCTTTTTTTTAGAGATCGATGTTTTGAAGACATAAAAATAGTTAAACTAAAATATCTTAGAACCTAGGGATGGAAAAGTCTAAAGCCTAATTAAGGCATCCTTTAACTAGACCTTATCGCCCTTATGATGACCTCGGATATCGTAATTATGTAAAATGACCATGTCTGTTAAATGTTTTCTGATGTGAGAACTAATATTATTTATATAAGTGTTTTTGAAAGCAGTTATTTTGGCGAATCAAAAGGCTGATAACTCCTCTTTACGAGAACAGCTGACTCAAAATGGAATTGGGACAGACATGGCAATGGGCTGACATTTGCTGCCCTAGCCCAGCCCGCGATCAATTTTTTGGGCCGTTGGCGGCCCATTGGGATGAATTTCTCGGCCCGGTGGCTAACCCACTGCTAAAATATGATTCAGAAGCAAATTGTAGAAACAATTTAACATATAAGAATAAAAAACATATAATCTCTGAAAGTCAATAAATGACAAGTGAACATTTCAAAAAAAAATGGTATTCAGGTACTTAGTAGAGTCCAGAAAAGAAAAAATCGGCCTATTTGGCACCTTTTTGAGGCTACGGCCCAGGCCCGGCCCATTGCGATGTCTGAAATGAGGTCGAATACAAAACGAAGAAATACTTGCAGTCTTTGTTTCAAAAATGTATGCACTTTCAAAACACTAGCGTCATGGATCAAGCAGAAAAGAACACATATATGCAAACATGAGGTGCAACACAAAAGCTGAACAATTTGGTTTCTTAAATGAGAGCATTCAAACTAAATAGAAGCACTTAGATTCACGAATTTGATTGCTAGAACCTTTCAAACAAAAGCAGGTAATAAAAGGCAAAAGTCATTTGGCAGACAATTGCACTCATGATAAAAAAAACCATGCACACGGAATTAAAACATGAGGCTGTAGTTTTCTGAAAAGAAATTACAATAATGAACTCAGTCGTCAAACTGCCTAAAAGTTCCATAATTTTGACGTAAGTTTTCCTGCTATTTAGATCAGGGGCGGATAGGGGGATGCCCCCCACCCCCGCTCATGGATTCGACCCCCTGCCGACCCAAAGGGTTCCCCCTCTTCTACTTTTCAAGAAATCCATTTTCGGCCGTTCGAACCTAAAGTTTTTCGAAGGGCGCTTTTGGCGCCTAAACTATTTTTGAAAGGGAGCGCGCGCCGAAAAAACGCAATTTTTTGGTCATATTTTTCCAAAAACGGATTTTTTACCTGTTTTTTTTTTTAGAAATTTGCCTGCAGCGCAAAATTTTTTGTCATAATAGGGTCTTTATAAAGTTCTGAGACCGCTCAGAAACTATTTGGTCCCCCCCCCCTCCCCTCGAGAAAATCCTAGATCCGCGCCAATCTTAGATTTGGACCAACGCAAGTATTTATTATTTAGAGTCAAACTATGTTGGACATGACGCGGTAGTATGATATACAAAGCAATTTTTTGTCTTCATCCTCATCTTGGGAGACTCATTTTCAATATCAAGGCTGATTCGATTTTCCTGCAGCGGAACTATACATAAAATAACCCAAAAATATGATATTCTGAAACAAGTTTTCGGTCGAGATACTCTTCACTTAAACCATTGTTGCGATTTCAAATATTGAAAATTTCATTAATCTAAACAAGTTGGAGGTTATTATTGTTTTAATCTTCCTCACTATTTTGATGCGCTTTGTTAACAGACTTCTCCTGAAATCGGAGAGATGGCAGAGTCATGAAACTAGTTGATAAAATAATCGCCTTATATGTAATAAGTACTTAAATAGTTTCTACGGAAAATTCCATAAACAAACAGCATCTTTTTGCACTAGATATCTTTCAAGATAGATATTATATATTTTAGATATATTAGATATTAGATATATTAAATACTGGGCTTCACATGAAAACAATAAAATTTACCTCATTTTGCTACGAGTGGAATCCACAAAAGTTAGCTGCATTTGCTGAACAACAATCAAATGGAATTTAAATTCACGCCTAAATACGGATTTAACTACAGTTTGGTGCATAGTTTTTTAATTGTCGCAAAGTGTAATACTCAGAGGCTGATGCCCCCACTTCTCAGGGATTCGGCCTACTCACCAACCAAATGGTCACCCCGTTGGTATTATTTTATGACATCAGCTTCCAGCCAACTTACCCTAAAAATGTTCTATAGGCGCCTTTACGCTAATATATATTTTATTTAAAGCGGAGCGCGCCATTAAAATGCGATGTTTTGGCTAACAATTTTCAAACAATGGCCAAAAACGCCATTGGCATTACATGGGGACAGGGGCGGATTTAGGGGGGGGGGTGTACGCCCCCCTCTCAGGGATTCGACCCCCTGCCAACCCAAAGGGACCCCCTTTGGTACTTTTTAAGAAATCCATTTTTGGCCGAACGACTCTAAAACTTTT